GCGGTCACCGGCTCCGGCAGCGGCTCAGAGCGACTTAGCGCGGCGCGGCGAGCAAGACATTCCACGGGACCCGCGGAGCCACGTCGGGATCGCAGCTGAGCTCCCGCACCCTAAACTTCCTCGGCCTCCGCCCCTTCAGCACGTCCCCCGCGACCGCCCACGGGACTGCGTGATCCCGTCAGGGCTCTCGGTGCTCCCGGGGCCGCGCGCCATGGGCAGCCCCCGCTCCGCGCTGAGCTGCCTGTGAGTACAGCCGCCGCCCCCGCGTCCCCAGCCTGGCCTGCGCCCGCCGCGCGCTCTCCGCTCACCCTGCGCCTCTCTCTTGCCCGCTTTTGTCTCCCACAGGCTGTTGCACTTGCTGGTTCTCTGCCTCCAAGCCCAGGTAAGGAGCGCAGCGCAGAGGCGGGGGCCAGGCGGGCTGGCGGGGAACCCGACTGGCAAAGTCGGGCAGGGACAAGACCAGCGCTTCAGAGATGGAAGAAACATTAGAAATCCAGCCCCGAAGGAGGGAGCTAAGGAACAGAGTGGTAGTGTCCTGCCTAATGTCACACAGCTAGTGAGTGGCAAGGCTGGAACCCAAGATTTTTTGAGTATAGAACTCTTACACATACGCTAGCCAGATTGGGTGGACGGGAACTCTACTGGAAGCCACACCTGGCCTCTGAAGAAGGGGGCAGCTGGAGCCAAGGGACGCTTGTTGTCAGGGAAGTCCAGGTGAACCCAGCAAGGACCCTCTCCGCGGCCCTCTGGGGAGACTTGTGGTTGGTTTGGCCCAATGATGGGGTGCCTAGGCCCTGTGCGCTCAATATTTGCTCTGTAAATTTGTCTTTATAAATGTCACCGGTCGGGTAGCGCTGCCTCCATACTTAAAAGCACCCTGCTCCTCTAGGAAGGCCCGGGCGGGGGGCCTGCGCTGGGCAGGGTGCCCGCTTCCCTGCTCCGAGCTGGCCGGGAGCCCCAGGGTGTTTCCCAACAGGTGGGTCCAGATTCTACCCCATCCTGGGCTGGGTCTGGGTGACTTTCCCGGGTGGGGGTTGGTGGCCTGAGCCGGCATTTGGGGGGGATCCCCCCAGCTTCTGCTGGCTGCCTGGTGCAGCAGGAGGGGGATGCGGGGGTGTGGGGGCCACTCGGGCCCCTGGGCGGAGTAGCATTATAATGGCGTGTTGTGTATTTTTCAATTTCCTAAAGGTAACTGTTCAGTCCTCACCTAATTTTACACAGCATGTGAGGGAGCAGAGCCTGGTGACGGATCAGCTCAGCCGCCGCCTCATTCGGACCTACCAGCTCTACAGCCGCACCAGCGGGAAGCACGTGCAGGTCCTGGCCAACAAGCGCATCAACGCCATGGCAGAAGACGGGGATCCTTTTGGTAAGACTTTCTCGTGGCACCACCTCAATGAAAGTAGCTTGTGGAAGGTGGTGACCCCAGCTGTACTGGCCAGAGGCTAGCTTGTAGGGGTTAGAACCAAAAGGTGTCTTGTGGGTCAGCTGGAGAGACAGTGTTGGGGAAGGGACCCTGGGGAGGACTTAGCCCACAGGTGCCCCCTTCCCTGCCCAGCAGATGAATGAATTCAAGAGTTTCCCTTACACCTCCCCCTTTATGCACCCCTCCCCAGATGCAGGTGGAGGCTGGGGGTTCAGGGGGAGGGGGCCCACGTTTAAGGGAAGCTCTTGAAAGAGGATATGTCGCCAGGGCCCACAAAAGGAGAGTGGGAGAGAGAAGGGAGAGAAATCCCTCTAGCTCTCCTAGCTCAGAAAAGGGAGATACTGTGAACCATTAAATACTTTGATCAGAAGGGTCAATTACACACTGGGGGCTAAGCCTGGAAAAGGGCCTTCCTTGCTCCACTTGCGGAGAACCCAGGCAGGTTGTGGGGCAGCAGGCAGCGGGTGGCGGTGGACTGTGGCCAGGGTTCCCTACTCCCTATTGGGTGGTGAGTAGAGGGAGCTACTGCCGGCAGAGAGGCTGAGGACTGATTGATTTCTAAAACACTCAATATTCCTGCCTTGAAACGTAGCCAATTTCCAGAGTCCTGGATGTACCAAGAGAAAAGCAAGCCCTCTGGGCGGCTGGTGTTGTTTTTAGAGAGTGATTATTGTGAGTTTAAAAACCTTTAAATAATGACCAAGTTAAACAAGCATGAAAGGAGAGAGGAAGACTCTATTAAAATGTAATAAAAAGGTGAGGCATTTTAAGAGCTAAGAAGAAAAATGAAGAATGATATAAAACAGAAAAAGAACCAGCCTTTTTTCAGATGTGGAGTTTGAAAGGAGTTGCAAGTCTGTAAATGTAAAAAAGAGGTTCAAGATTGTTCTCTATGAATCTCTGGAGAGAACCCCGCGTCTGGCAGAGCGATTAAAACTCTTCTTACTTTCACCTTTTTTAACATTTCCTGAATACTTTCTCCTCTTCTCGAGCCAGTTTGGGGGATCGAGTATGTCTCGCTGCATTTTTTCTGCATCAACGTAGCTGACTTCCCTTCAAAGCTGGAGGAGGAGACATAATTTTCCTGGGATAAATCTGTCACTGGGGTGGAAGAATAGGTTTGAAAATGTTAAGCTTTCCAAAAGCTCAGTTGGGAAAGTCGATGTGAACTGCAGCCCGGCTTCCAGATCCATTCGGGAAGGAGAGTGAGGGCTTTCTTAGTGGGGGTGGGGGCAGCCTGCCCGGTGGCCAAGCTCCCCCGCTGGGCTGGTAGAGCTGGCCTACGGGCCCTTTGTCCCTCCAAATTGGCTGCTTGCTGCCCTTCTCAGCTTCCAAAGAAGGGTACGAATGCCTAGCTCCTTCAGGGCTTACTCCATCGGAGCAAATGGCCCAGCATCCTTGGATTTTGGGGAGGGAAGGCCAATCAGACATCAAGGAAGTCTGCTGCCCATTTATTCTCTCGTTAGACCCACGGTTCCCTGGTTCCTGCGTGCAAGGGAGGAGTAGGAGTGGGAAGTCCCAAGAGCCGAGATATAGAAAAAGGTGAAAGAAGAGTCTGGGAAGAATAATGGAGAGATCCCAATTACTTCATTAGAGGTTTAGGAAGGGATAAAGGCACCCACTCTGTTCCTATCTACCCCATTTAGCCAGAATCTTTAGAGTGGTTTCCCCTATCCCTTCTCCAGCCAGTATCCTTCCTAAAAAGCAGATGTTCCTGCCTCTGCAAGGCAGACCCAAAGAGGCATGAGCAGATTGGCAAGGTTGAAGAGGAAGTGGTCAGAAGGAGATGACAGCTGATTTCCTAGCTGACTTGGGGCCAGACTGGGGACTTTGGCCACTGGTTGGTTCCCAGCTCTATGTCTATGTGAAGAGGTGTATAGTCATAGTGAAGGCAGGGAGAGTTGCCTTGCTGACCTCAGTGCTCCCCCACCTCTGGTACTGGTTTCAGGAACAGAGAATGAGCCATGTCACAAAAGGCTGGACTCTGCCATAGGAAGGGCAAAAGATCCAGCCCCTTCTGTCCCATCAGCAAGGTCAGCCCTTGCTTTCTTTTTGGATAGCTTCTAAGAGAGCAGTTGCATGAAAAGATAATGTGGATGGATTCTGGGGTAAGTTGGCTCTCTAAGGGGAGAAGGGGTGGGGAACAAGGCACAGAAGTCAGACCCTGCTTCTGGCTGTCTAGACTGCAAGTAGCTCTGCCTGAGTCTCTCTCCTCTTCACCCCCAGAAAGAATTTGGTCACAGGGGTGAGAAGCCCAGCTATGATGGAGGTTGAAAGAGAAAAGATTGAGTTGTTGCTGTCTGGAACTTGGGGCTGTGGTCTGGTGGCTGGGAAGCTGAAAGATGCAGGCAAAATCCTCCCAGCTGGTGTTTGAGGTTCTGAAAATCTGCTTTGGGCTGTGTGTAGGGAGAACTGTTCTCATCTCTTAGCAGAGCAGGGCTGCCCAAAGGGTTGAGGCAGGGGTAATCAAGCCTGTGAGTTCCAACCAACATGCTAGGAACAGGAGAGGATGCTTTTACCTTTGGCTTCAGGACTGAAGGTCACCACTACACCTGGATGTTCACATAATAACCTTGAGGCATGTACACAAAATAATCTAAGTTGGAGGGATCCTTAGGGATCTTTTGATTAGCCAAGGAACTCTGGTCAGATTAAATTTTACTTGGAACCTTAACATACAAGTTATCACTGTCTGGTTTGAAAAGACAATGGAAGAAATAGAGATGCACCTTTTTCAATTCGATGGTCCCAGTCCCTTCTGTGGAACCCAGTTTGTATGCTTATCCCATCTCTTCTCAACTCAAGAGATCTCAGGGATATACAGCATGTCAGTAGCTGGGCTGGGGCTGGAGCCCATGTTTTGAGTGCCTGGCCTGCCTGGCCCGGCAGTTGCTGCTGGGATGTGACAAGTCCTTGGACCAGAGAGGGGGAGGCTATGGATTCTGGGGGTGGGGTGGGGTCAGGGGCTTTTCAGTGACCTTCCCACACCTTCTCTGATAGCAAAGCTCATCGTGGAAACAGATACCTTTGGGAGCCGGGTTCGAGTCCGTGGAGCAGAGACAGGTCTTTACATCTGCATGAATAAGAAGGGGAAGCTGATTGCCAAGGTGAGGTATTTGGAGGGAGGTGGGCCCTGGGCCTGAGGGGCAGCCTAGGCTGGTTTAGCTCCTCTAAGGACATTCTTGTGCTGTGATCTCAACAAGGTGTACAGAGAAATGTAGCCACCTTGGGGTTACCTAATGATTGGGTGTGGGGTGGGGGGTAAGGAATAAGGAAACTGCTTAAGAGAGGAAAAACTATAAAGACGAAGGAGGAAGCCTAGGGAAGGTGCGGGGGGTGGGGGTTGGTAAATTCCATATATCTTTTTAACAAATCGCCAAATTGCTTTGCTATTATGTCCAATTACATGGTACCAGCATTTGGAATGTTCAGTAAGCCGCAGGCCCGGCCCCCTCAGCCGAGCTCTGAAATGGCCCCATTAGTCACGGCTCCTCTCCAGCCTCGAGCTCCCCAGCTTCCTAGGCTTGGGGCTTGGGACTCAGTCTCCTCCCAGGCTCCCCTCCCCCAAGGGTGGTTGCCCTGGGCTGGGAGCTGGAGTCCTGTGGGGCTGAGGCAAGCAGGTGGGGAAGCGCATGCAACCCAGGCCAGACTGGTGGGCAGGAGGCCAGAGCAGGCAGGCTCTGGGCCCCTCACTCTGCCTCTCTGTCGTGGGCCCAGCCCCTCTGTAGACAGCCATGTGTCACTGCTGCCCAGGAGGACAGGAAGTTGCCGGGTGGGCTGCTGGTTGTAAGGGATTAGAGAGCGGGTGCCTGGGCAGGAGGTGGGGCTGGGCTACTGCCCCCATCACCATCTGCTGGGGTGCCCACCTGCTGTCTGGGTCCGTTGGCCCTCTGCCTCACATGGGGGGCTCATAACACCGCAACTGCTCCCCTACCTGCAGAGCAACGGCAAAGGCAAGGATTGTGTCTTCACGGAGATCGTGCTGGAGAACAACTACACAGCCCTGCAGAATGCCAAGTATGAGGGCTGGTACATGGCCTTCACCCGCAAGGGCCGGCCCCGCAAGGGCTCCAAGACGCGACAGCACCAGCGCGAGGTCCATTTCATGAAGCGGCTGCCCCGCGGCCACCACACCACTGAGCAGAGCCTGCGCTTCGAGTTCCTCAACTACCCGCCCTTCACGCGCAGCCTGCGCGGCAGCCAGAGGACTTGGGCCCCCGAGCCCCGATAGGCGCCTGCCTGGCCCCTCCCACAGTCGCCGCCGGGGACACTGGAGAGCAGCTCTGTCTGCTGAGAGCTGCGCCGCAAGGGCGGGGGAGGTGCTGGCGGAGCCCGCGATCTAGTTGTTGATATTGTTTGCTGTTGGGTTTTTTTTTGTTTGTTTGTTGTTTGTTTGTTTTGTTTTGTTTTTTTTTTAACAAAAAAGAGGCTCTATTTTTGTATTCCACTGGCTGTGACGTCTGTATTCTTACCTCTCAAGAAGGTCCATTAAAGGCCAGCGCAGACTGGGTTCCAATCAGGGCTCCCTGGGGTGGAGGGCTCTCTAATCTGGGGGAAGTACTCCTGAGGTTCCAGCACCTGCAGAGCAACTGGCAGAGCAGCCGGGGACCCCCTGCACCTCCAGGTTGGGTCAGGGAGCAAAAAGATGCAGTATAGGTCACCTAGCATGATGGTGGGTGGCAGTGGGGGTAGTTGTATATTAGTTGCTATTAAATGATTGAAATATTAATTTAACTTGCATATTAGCAATATGATAGAGTGAATCTGGCAGGGTTGGCCTCTCCCTCTGTGCTGCCCCAGCTGACCAGTGTGACTGGGGAACACAGCAAGTCAGGCACCAGCTCTGACTGCAGCCTCCTTCCAGCAGACCCCTGCCTTTCAGCTATTCCCATCACTGTCACTGGAGTGGTTTCCTGGGAGCATAGAAGCAGGAAAAGAGGTGGAAAAGGCTCTTGGCTGGTTCTGGAAGCTCTTGGACAGGGGCTGCCCAGCTCTTCTCAGGAGTAACTGCTAACACTTCCCTAGGTCACCTCAGAGTCAGAAATGATGGACAGGCTAGGACCAGCAAGGCAATCCAGATACAAGTCTTTGAGGATGTGCCTGTGCCTGTGTGCCTAGACCATGTGAGACGGGTCCCAAATTCCAGAACTGGTTCTCTTTGAGAATCAAGCTTAAAAAAAAAAAGAAAAGAAATAAAGACAGCTGCTGTGGCCTAAGGAAAGGGCATATTGAGGGGCAACCACAGCTTTTGCTGGCACTTTGGATCTGGAACAAGGGTTTTCTTTGGGAGATCAGGGTAGAGAACTGAAAACAGAAAGTACTGCACTCGGGCTGCCCAGCCCAGGGCAGGTAGAGGCTGTGGGTCTCAGAAAGATGGGCCTAACAGGAGAGAAACTGGTCCTGGGGGACGACCAGAAAGGAGACTCATGGGCTAGAATAGAACTCAAGCCAGTCATGGCCTGAAGAAGAAGCATCAGCCATATTGAAAGGACAAGGCCATCAGAGAGGACAGCTCTAAAAAGGACAGGTTGCGCCATGGTAGCAGAGATGCAGGCCACCGTGTAGGCAGGACTGGCCCATGGTGGGAAGGGACATGTGATATATTCATATGTGGAGCAGTGAGCTGGCATCACAACATACCTAAGGAAAGTCCAGGCCCAGAAGCAGGTCTGAAGCCCAGAGCCAGCCCAGGGTTCACAATTGAGACCTTCCATTTTGGCTGTTTCAATTGCCTTCTCTGACGATGCCCCTGGTCTGCACCCATGGCCCACCTACTAGGCTAGTCTAGAAACTCCTCCCTATATACCTGTTCTTTAATAACTCACTTGGTATGGGTGGGGGCATCCTAAGACTTCCTGGCCAGGTGGGCCTCCTAGAGGTACAATCTAAGTCCCAGATTTGACCCATCCAAATGGAACAGGAATTCCAGGGCTCACTGGAAAGATTTGGGCTCTGCCCACCCCTCCTCTGGCCTGCAGGAGAGGGTGAGGGGCTTTCAATAGAGTAGGGTTCTCCTGGTTCATAGACATTGGGGATGTGGGGAGTGGGCTCTAGACATCTCTGGACCAGCTCCCTCAGCTCTTGGTGCTTCCTCCTCTGCTCCCCTCCCCCTTTAATTAATTCTGGGTGAGCAGCCTGGCTTTATTGTGCAAGGAGCTAGGGTCTCACTGTGGGAAAAGTCACACCTTCTGAGCAGCTTCTGATGCCATGCAAATGGAGAGACCGTCCAGGAAACGCTTTCATCTGCACGGGTCGCCTGTCCAGCCCCCAGCCCAGTAATTACCCACATTTCATTTGTTTGGGAGCAATTCCTGGGGGAAGCTACAGGGTAGGAGGGAGTCTGGGGCGGGGATGGTGGTGGGGGTGAATGGGGGTGGAATGTCAGGCTCTCTGCCTGTGATCCTGGCCACAAAGTGGGGTTGGACTGGGCCAAGGCTGGTCACTGGCTAGGCCAAAGCTAAACCTTTAGCTCCCAAGCTGGGAGTCCTGAGTCCTTGGGTGTTGTGGAATAGGATCATGCCATGTTTGCATTTAGGAAGAAGAGATGGGCTGTGCAGAAAAACAGACCTGCCTTCCAGAGAGGGGGCAGGAGAGGTAGACTGGAGGTAGAGATCGGGTCCTTATGGTGGCCAGAGGCATTGGGACTGACTCCAGCAGGTCCCCATGCCAGAACCCATGAGAGTTGAACCTAGAGCAGTGGGACAAGGCACCCACCAACTTGTTTATCTTTGAGTTGCTGCCTCCACAGAGCCCTCGCTAATGGGGTTTTACAGCCCACTCAAGCTGCAACTGGCCAAGAATCAATCATTACCGGCACTTAGTGGTTTGATAGTTAACAGCCTGAACTGAAGCCAAACTGGTTGTTAACTGTGATAACAACTGATTTCAAGGGGTTATTGCCGGCCCAATATGCTCAGCCCATTTATTTCGGGGAAAACAAGCAGGGAGCTGTGGCAAGACCCAGAAAAGGGAGGAGGACCTGGCTGCCCTCAGCCAAAAGGCTAGCCACTGTGTCCTGAGTTGGTGCTGGTTTAGAAGGTCTGGGGGCCAGCTGTGGTCCATAAGGAGGCTTGACCACCCAGCATCCTCAAGGGCTCTGTGCCGGCAGTTCTTCTGGGTAGAAGCCCCTCTCTAGCCCACCCTTCTCCGTAATTCCTGCTTGGCCTCTCCTGGTGCTCCTCAGGATGCCCTCACAGCCTTGACTCCCCACAGGAAGGAGCCCAGCTCTGGTGGTCAGACTTCTACTTGTCTCTACCCAGCAGGTGAGGCTGGACTCCTCACCCAGGACTCCTAGAACATTGCCAAGTCAAACCAAAAAAAATATTGTTATTTCAAAACCAGCAAAGATCCAATCTAGGTCTCAACTAGAAGGATGAGTGTTCTCTCCTTCCGCAGCAACAGCTCCTGTCCATCCCTCGTGTTCTCAGCCAAATGAAAGCAGGTGTGGCCATGGTGGAACATCATTCTAGAATGTTGCTATTGCAATAAAGGACCTCAGTTCTCTACCCTTTACAGATGGACAACATGTGGCCTAGAAGTCACATAACTAGTGTCATATCTAGTACTGGAAGTCAGATCTCCAGATCCAGGCTGTGTGTGTGTGTGTGTGTGTGTGTGTGTGTGTGTGTGTGTGTGTATATGAAATAGTTGTAGTTGGACACAATACCCACAATACCTTTATTTTATTTATTTTTATGTGGTGCTGAGGATCGAATCCAGGGCCTCGCACATGCTAGGCAAGTGCTCTACCACTAAGCCACAACCCCAGCCCCCCCAGGCTGCCTCTAAAAGACTGTACATCTCACCCTAATTCTATTAATTTGTTTATTCATTTAGTAAATCTTTCTTGAGTGTCTCTTATGTGTCAGGCTCTGTGCTGGGCAGAGATGACAGAGCAGACAAAAAAGGACAAAAATTCCTGTTATTATGGTGCTCCTCTAGTAGAAAGGGGGAGGTGTAGAGCCAGTAGAATACAGTGTCAGACACTGATAGTCACTACAGAGAAATTCGGAGAAGAGAATGAAGATGAAGGGCAGCAGCTGTTTTAAATCAGGTAATCACAGAAGCCTCCATAATAACATTGTGTTGAAGCAGACACCTGATAGAGGTGAGGCTTTCGGATACAGGCAGGGACAACCCAGGTAGAGGGAACAACAGGTGCAAAGGCTTATTGCATTTGTAGACTTAGAAGGAGGCCAGTGTGACTGAAGCAAAGTGAAGGGAGGATGGTGGGGTAGTTTTGGGGGACAAGGTGGAGGAGGCTAGAAGCTGAGGTGAGGCCAAAGAGGTGGCAGGGGTGGTGGTGAAGGGCAGATCATACAGGGCCCTTAAAAAGATTTCAGCTTTGCCTCTCAGTAAGATAGCAGCACCACCCCCCACACACACTTTTTCTTTTTTTGTACTGGGGATTGAACCCAGGGGCGCTTAACCACTGAGCCACATCCCCAGCCCTTTTAAAATATTTTATTTAGAGACAAGGTCTCACTGAGTTGTTTAGCTCCTTGCTTTTTGCTAAGGCTGGCTTTGAACTTGAAATCCTCCTGCCTCAGCCTCCTGAGCCTCTGGGATTACAGGCATACGCCACCACACCTGTCCCACAGATTATTTTTTTAGTTATAAAGTAACTGGAATAGTGAGAGATGCTAGTGATTGGGAGTGGTGAGAGCAGATTAGAATTTTGGACATTTTTTTTTTTTTTTGCAGGCAAAGGTGATATGATTTACTAATGGGTTGGGATGTGGAAAAAAAAGGAGTCTAGGGATTTCCAAGGTTTCTTGCTTGAGCAACCAAAGAATGAAGATGTCATTTGCTAAGGTGAAGCAGATTCTAGGAGAGCAGATGTAGAGGAGTGAAATGGGAGTTTGGTTTTGAACATGTGAAGTCTGAGCTGATTAAATATTCAAGAGGAGGGCCAGGGCTGTGGCTCAGTGGTAGAGCACTTGCCTCACACGTGTGAGGCACTGGGTTCAATTCTCAGCACCACATAAAAATAAAGATATTGTGTCCATCTACAACTAAAAAAAAATTATTCAAGAGGAGGTGGTAAGTGGGTAGTTGTTTGGATCTGAAATTCAAAGGTGAGGTCTTATAAGATACAAATTTGAAAGTGTTCAGCACACAGGTGGTTTTCAAGCCAGGAAAGAGAATGAATTCCCTACGGAGGCAGTGGAGGTAGAGGAGAGAAGAGATCCACACTTAAGCCTTGATGTGCTCAAAACATTTAAAAATTAGAGGGAAGGGAAGCCCTGGCAAAGATTGGAGGAAGTGTGGCCCAGAGAGGGAAGGAAAACTAGGCGAGTTCTATATCCTGACAACATAGGAGAAAGAACAATTTCTGAGCCTGCAGCTATAAGTAGGCTTAGGGATATGTTTTACTGTCATCAT